TTAATGTTAAGGCCTGAAGCTCATCTTGGCAGCTGAGTCATGGACGTTCAATAAGAGGTTGAAGACGGTTAATAATAGTAAATATTACAAAAAAAAATGGGGGTCTAGACGTCATCATTCTGTTATGAACACACTGAGACATAATGTTTTGGCTAATTTGCGCGGACCTGAAAGGCACCGACTGTAAAAGAAAAGTGCTGATGGTGGCGGTGAGCTGGCGTCTCTGTGGTGGGAGGAAAGCTGATATGAGGTCGCTATGTTCCCCCGGTGAGCTGGACGGGCTCTTTTTAACAGGATCTCATGAGCAGAGAGGAGGTGTGAACATCCAATTCCCACATAGTTGCAGTGACATAGTGGGTTTGCCAATAATGGGCCCTCAAAATAGTGCTGGATGCAGACAATGAGCAGAAAACTAGAACACAGAACCAGCCTTAAACTCAGCAGGGAATTTAAAATATAAAAACCGACACCAGCCACTACTGTATGCTCATTAAAACGTCCTCAGGTTGTTTCTGGAGAAGAGCTTCTCCTACACGGAGATGATCATCCAGGCAGAACTCCAGCCTTCATCTGGATCGTCTACAGTCCTGCTAAAATGTGAGAAATACTGAATATTCTGCTTCTGATTGCTGAGAAAACAAAGACTCCAGCGTGATTTTTCCACCGGCTACAGTGTGAATGCCAGGACCCCAATTACATTTAGAAATGTGTCCCGCCTGGAAATGAGAGCTGAATAATGAAAGCGGCCACCGTTCACCCACACATCAGACTCCAGGGATGAGGAAGGTCATTTCAAACCATGGTAATTACCAAATGAGCGATTCATGAGCTCAAAGTGCAAATTAACTTCCTAAGATATATCTGTTGTATAAATTGTTTCCTAAATTAATTACCGTTGGTTTCCGGGGGAAATTTATTGTCACAACTTTGATTTAAAAAAGCTTTCGGACACACGGATACACTTTTCCGTTTGTTCTGGAGGCGCCTGGAACTGCAGGGATATTGGGAGATTATTTTTTTAGTTGGTGGGACCACTGAGCGCCCAGACCCTCACCGCTCTGTTTGGAGTGATCTCGATGGATGCCCCCTTGGACACATGCTAGCTAAGTCTGATCACCTTGTGCTGTTTGCTAAAAGACTCATATTGTCCAGGTGGAAGGACCCTCAGCCGCCAGCAGGTGGGCGCTAGATCGCTGAGGTTCTGTCCCATGCTCACCTGCAGAGGATTAGGGGCGCTGTTGTATGGTCATCATTTATGTCTTGTGTTGGTCGTGTTCCTGCGGAGTATTTGTTGGATTGTTTCTTTTGAGTCTGAATTAGCGTCACGGTGAGACCCGGTTGTGTTTTATACTTGTTCCAGTGTAATGGGGGTGGGGGTGGGGGGGCTTTGTTGAAGTTTGAAAACATTAAAAACTTAACAAAAAGACTTAGTTCAAAAATAAAAAGATGCATCGAGTGGTGGAAAAGAAAAGGTGGCTTCATGGTCTGCTGGTTATTACGCTCTGATAAACATTTATTACACTCTGGGCGCTTCGGCCCACAGATGTTAGAAACACTTCCCGACATGCTCACCCATCTGTGGTTGGGATTGGAACCAGCGACGGAATCTCGGTAAATGCCATTCAGGGTTTTGTCTGGATTTCTACCAGAGCAAAAAGGCACCAACTTTCACGGACCGTCTCAGACACGCAGCAGAACACACCAACACCTGCAGGATCTAATTCCTGATCCCTTAAAAAGGATCACCACCAGAACGTCCAGACTGAGATACAACAGACTATAACAAGAGGGATTCACCAAATGAGAAAGTCCATGAAGGTCAAACTGAAAGCTAAAATCTTGGAAGAGCAGCACGTTACTGCAGCAGCACGTCTTGCTCACGTAAGCTGCAGCTTGGCCCTTCCCACGAGACGCGAAGCAGCAGGGGAGCAGCTGTCACCGACAGAGCACAAAGTCACGCAACATTCGCAAAATCACACGACTTCATCAGCAAACACAACAACAAGCAGGAGTAATCACTTCGGTAATCAACCTTTCGTCGTCCATTATGGAAAAACAAAGGAGACCGCTAGCTAGGTGATAACTTCTCACGAGGCCACACAGCTAGTCACTTTTTTTTAAAGTAAAGCAACCGGAAGGCAGTACGTTTTTTTATTCTGAAAATCTCTGGAAGCTTCGCTCCATTTCCGCGCCCGATTTCCTGTCTTTCCTTCCCCAAAAATGTCGAACTTGACCCGTTTCAGAGGAGTCGCGCGTAGAAAATAGAACCAGCGCGTAAGGGCCGCAACATGCTGCTCCTGAGACGCGGCCGACTCGCGCTGCTGACGGCTCCGGTGGAAAAGGTTCTGTTGACCACAGCGGTTCCTATCAGCAGCTATGACGTGCTGCTGACGGCTCCGGTGGAAAGAAGGGGTAACCAAATCCACTATCCAATATCTCTGCTCCGCTCCGGCACGAACTCCGTAGAAAAAACGGTCCCATTGTAGTCAATCAGAGCTGTTCCACTACTGCGGCCGTGCGGCGCAGTGCGCTGCCTGCCATTACGCCATCCATGAAAAATAGAATCTATCCTATTTTCGCCGGACGCCAGAGCACCTCCGCAGTCAATGGACAGAAATCACAACTGCCCAACAGGAAAGGGAGCAAGCACAGCTTCCGTTTTTTCACAATAAATCGATAAATAAAAAGCGTTTTTTGTTTCACATGCACAGGTTTAACAACTTTTAACAACTATCAATGGCGGTTGAACTTTAAATGCACAAAAATAAGCCATAAATACAGTTTCTACTATCAAAGTAGTCACACTTTGTTGATCCAAACACTGCTGATCTCTCAACACAAATGATGGGCAGATTAAACAGTTCATTTCGATGCTTCTCCCACACAACGGGTGTTTGGATCTAACTTCCGCGTTTAGTGCTCAGACTGTATCGCAAGATCTCGAAAATCCCGAGCACCTCAGGTCTCCGTACCGGAGCGGAGCCGTTGTAGAGCGGGTATAGTATAATTTGAGTTCGGAAGCGAGCGGCAGCGGAGGGCGGGGGCGGAGCGGAGAGAGTGGGGAGTCTGCAGGTGGGCGTGTTTGGAGAGCAGGATCAACGGCCAGCTGCAGCTCATCTCCAATCATCCTACAGGGGGTATTTAAGGAGCTGACTTCCTCAACACCCTTGCCGGATGATTATGCAACCTGGGTAGTTCAGCCAGATTTCAATATTTTGTCAAGCTAACATTAAGACCAAGAAATTTTATGTGAAGCAGATTTCTACGAGACTAGGATCAAGAATAATCATTCCTCTTATCCCTTCAAGGTTTGTTTTTACAACCATCTCCTCCAGCCATCTCCAAGAACCTCTCATCAGCTCCACTTCACGCAGCTCCAAATCCTGGCTGTCCGCACTGATTCTGATTCTGCATGTCGTGGGTCAAAAGAGTACCACAGAACATGACAGCTAGAAGACCAACTTAGGCCATGAAGACACGTCGCCATGTTTCTGCTCATCTAGGAAGAGAACTTGGATCCACACCACCGCGATTTCAGCTACAAATCCAGAGATTTGTGAAGCACGGAAACAGGAATGCCCAACCTGCAGGTGGCAGTAGTTCTCCAAATCATCAGAACAACCAGGTAGTGGGCAATAACCATCCTTAGCGTTGTGCTTCTCCTGAGGTCTTCCACAGTAACTGATCTCATAAAAACAGGAGAGTGTTGCACACGTGATGTTGGAGTATTTAGGCGCAGGCAGCGACGTTCCGAAACCTAAACCCACAAAGAAATGCAGAAAATGGAGAAATCACAAAACTCCACACTGAATTGTTTTTAGTGCCGTTTATCCTCACTTTGCTGTGGATGCTGGGCTGAACCGTGGAAAAATATTTCATTTCGTGGGAAACGCGTCTGGACGTGGAGGGTGAGAGCCAGAGTTCAGCTGGGTCCTGGAAAACCCGTCTGAGATCTGTCCGTAGGAAAAACGGAGAGCAATCAACCTCTGAGCAGCGGTGGCAGATGAGCCAAGTCTCCGTCCCGTAACCGGAGGGTTGCAGGTTCACCGTCACACCTGTGATGGCTGGAGGGCATGGTGGCGCTGGCGTACAGCAGCCTCGCCTCCATCAGAGCGCCCCAGGGCAGCTGTGGCTCATCACCACCCATGTGTGAATGGATGAATGACCATTGTGTTGTACAGCGCTTTGGGCGGTAAATCTTTTTCTTATAAAAATAAATCTTGCGTAGAAAACCTTAGAGTCTTTCGTTTTTAAACTTGCTATGGTTTGGTTTCCTGTTTGGCTCGATCTGAACTGCTGCGCTTGACGAGTTCTGGAAACATTACGTAAAAATGAAGTTGGCAGATCGACATGACACCATGCACGGCTCTGAGATGCCCGATGGAAACACACTCACTGACTTTGATGGCGGCTGTGGCCTGCGGATTATGCTTTGCAGGCGCTACGCGATGCTAACGCTTCCGTGGAAAGCTGAGGCAAGACTGAACACTTCGTGAAACATTGAAAACATCAGTTTTAAAATGTTGCTTTACAGTCTGGACCATCTTCATTCGGTCTGATCTTTCATTCTGCTCTCCCCAGGATCCACTCATTTCCTTTTTTCCTATTCACTCTTTCTTAGCATTTTTTATTCACAATTGTCTATTTTTGCTTATTTTAAACATGTTCTGATCATCTTTTATATTTTTTGTTTTTGCGAAGCGCCTCGTGGTTTTGATTGAGAGGTGCTTAAGAAAAGATGGTTTTCTTTCTTCTTTCATTTATCTCCGCTCATCCATGCTACAGGCAGCATGCACACACACATGCACACATGCACACACACACACACACCGTGAACACCAGACTCACAGAAAAAAACAGAACTTTTAAAGATCTGAGTTAGCATGCACATTCTACTGGAATTGAGTCGATGCAAAGCGTATAAAATGAGATAAGAGACGAAGCGGGAGACAGACAGGCAACAGCAGACCACACTGAAAGTGTAAAACCAGGATAGTCACCAGAGATTTACTAAAAAAACATGTTCAATTTCCTGTAGAATCTCAAGCTCTCTAAAGACGTTTCGGACCTCATCTCTCTCTATGCACTGCTGTTTGTTCATGTACTTCATGGCGTACATCTTCTCCGTGTCCCTCTTTTGCACAATGCATACCTGCAGCCGGGGGGTGGGGGGTCAGGAGAGAGAGAAGAAAGACATCATCAGAATATGAACATGTAACAAGACAAAAACATGGCTAAGACACGCTGCTCACTATGTATTCATATTTTTATGGAACTCCATGTTTTGAGAACAGCCGCCAGCATCTTCAGCAGGACTGGTCTCCAACACCAACTGCTGACCAGCAGAGCAGTTTTAATGAAACTCAGTTTTTTAGCTCACAATGCTCCCAAATCACCTCATTTATTCAAAACTAGTTTAGAGGTTCCTGGCAGGAAGTGAGAGGAAAAGGTCAGCAGCAGGACAAGTCTCCAGAGAGGTGAAAGTCGGTACTGTCCACAGCTAAGGAGACTGAGGCTCCATCTTCTTCCTCAGTCATTGACTTGCTGAATCATTTCTAGGTTTCAGGTAAACACGACGCCCAAAGAGACTCACTCAGGAAGTTCTGAGGTGTTCGTTTTAGTAGAGGTCACAGGTTCTGGGTCAGGTCACCTGGGGTGCTTTGGGTGATCGGTATAACATCACTCAGCTTCTGATCTCTAGTGTTGACTTACTCTCTCTAAGGTTTATGTCAGCCATGTTGTAAGCCCCACAGCACAGATGGTGTCAAAACACACACACACACACACACACACACACACACACACACACACACACACACACGCATAAACACAAACACACACACACGCATGCACACAGACACGCACAAACACAAACACACGCACATCCACACGCACGCACGTACACACACACACACACACACACACCCTCTCTGGATCAGATTTTATATACAGATGCTAAATTTGAAGAACAAGTGTTGGAGGAGGATCTGCACTGAGGTCCAGGGGTTCTGTCTTGGTGCTCGTCACCATACCTGATGCACCGTTACGTTTCAGTCTCAGAGACAACGCGGGTCTTCCTCTGCACCTGATTTTAACGAAGACTAAGATTAACACGTGAATTTGCATTTACAACAATTCACAACATTTAGGGCAGGTGTCCAACTCCAGTCCTCGAGGACTACCATCCTGCTAGTTTTCTGTGTCTCTACCACACCTGGTTGGAGTGATTTAATCATCTCATTTCCTCTGCAGAGGCCTGCAATCACTTCAATCAGGTGTGTAAGAGCAAAGAAACAGCTAACATGTGCAGGATGGTAGCCCTTGAGGACCAGAGGTGGTGACCCACTCCAGGGCATGATGGAGGTTTGGACCTCATAGCACCAGCTGCTGTTCTCACCTTCAGCTGGTCACCGAACCAAAAGAGAAAACGTCGTCAGCCAGCTGCTCCAATCAACATCCCTGAGCAGAAACCTGAAGGGCACTCCCATCCGTGCAGCTCGTGACCCATCGTTTAACCCTAACCCACCCAAGTGCTACATGGTTTCTATGGGAACCAGACCTTTAAGGCGTCATCACTGGTGGTTTGGTCTCCTTGGGCCTGCCTCCAGTTCCTGATGAAAGTGGTTCTTTCTTTTGGCCCAATAAAGCGTTAAAACCTGTTTCTATAGAAATCTTCCATCTCTCAGGTATGAGCGGCTTTTCAGAACCCATCAGCTTCAGGTCTGGATGCTACAGGTCCGCGTGTGACTGGGACCGACTGGGACAGGAAACACAAACCTTCCTGCTTGTTTGGGAGGAAGCTCAAACGAATGAATGGACCAGAAAGACAACAGGAGGAACATGGGAGTCGGGGTGGAGTGTAATGGAAGTTTGATTATTCCCACCAATACTCCGGCTTCCTGCATGTGGACGTTCCATGTCTGTTTACATGTGGGGCCATGCAGATCCAGCTGCTCTTCAGCTTGGTCACACCAAACTGCAGTGATCTCCTCTGATTTTAATTCAGTTGCTTTGTTCCAGTCACTTCTGAATCAGGATGAGGAGAAACGTTTCACGTTTTTACATTTGAAACGAGTATTTTCCAGTTAATGAAACAGCAGGGTATATACAGCAATCCTTAAGTAAAATTTACTACTTTTTAATACTTTTTTACTACCTTCAGAATTTTTTTTAAAACCATCACAACACTAAATTGCAAGTGTTAATCAGCGACCTATTTACACATATTTTAACATATATAACATACAAAAAGAATAGACTTAGAGACTCACTGATGTTGACAACGTATTGCACATATTTATTTTACTTAGAAAATAAGCCAGGCACTTCTGTTCAGCGGTTCAGACAGTTGACTACGAGGCCTGAAATGATGCACAACGACCACTGAATATGACGTCATCATTATGTGACCGGATATGCTAAAGTAGGGCTGCTCGATTATGGCAAAAACAATAATCACGATTATTGTGACTGAAATTGAGATCTCGATTATTTAAGACGATTTTTCAATTCATGTAGATTTTTATTTTTTTATTTTTATTCAGTCATAAAACTGCTCAGGGCACAATCAGGGCAAAAATAAACAAGAAACAAGATGATCACTAAAATAACTCCTGATTCCCAGTATAAAAAGACCAATATACTTATAGCTCATAGTCTATGACCCAAGGGCTATAGACCTTGGTTTAACTCATTTAAGTCTAACCAGTACAGACCCAAATACCAATATCTTGCAAATACTGACAGCAAGAATTATACAGTGGCATTTATAACAAATACATGCAAATTGCTGTTCACTAAATGTTGCATAACATTTATTGAGTCATGTCAAGGTGCTGTAGGAGAGTGCACTAGCACCGTGTCCTCAGAGAGATTAGTTATTATTTATCAGCGTGAGGAACTTATTTCTACCTTATTTATAAACTATTTATTTACAGGTCCATCAGTTAATGTAATAATTGCCCCAACCACAGCTGCACCCCCCACCCCCAACCCGGTCTCGCAGCAATCAGGGGCAAGCTGCACGTGTGTTTAGCGCGCCGCACGCGCACATTTAGCCGTTTTTATCGGCTCAGGAGTCCGCAGGTGCGGTGTGTGTGTCACTCACTCTGGTTACTCCAACAGGGAGCCGGCTCTGAGAGCCGTTTCTTTAGAGACTGACACATCACTACATCATTCCCTTTCCTAATGTCCTGAAGAACGGTCCGGAGTGCAGGCGGAGTGTTTAGCTAACCTGCAGGAAATGTCGACGACAGTTATCCAGAAAGTAGCTAAGGGTTACCAGAGATGTTTCTGAGGTGTTCGCTAGGTACTTTTAAGATTTAAAAAGTCAAGAAGCGGGTCTGAGAAGCTGTTAGAAATAGCGTCAAAGTCGTCAAGTTGGCAACACTGTGGAGGAGCGCTTCATTTGCAACTCAGGGCAGCGCAAGTGGGAGGAGCAAATAATCAGCTTCTTTTGTTTTTATAATCGTTCAAAACATTTCATTCGGAATATATTTCTATGTCGATGTTCAGAATACGACATCTGATAGTCTGAAAAAAATAATACCTAATTTGGAAAAAATAATACCTCTGAGACCAAATTTAACACTTTTAATGGCCTTAAATTTGACTATTTTTATTTATCACTTTTTAATGCTTTTTAAAACCCCGCGGACACCCTGAACAGGAAGAAGAGCTTCAGAAAGCGAGCACAGGTGCTAAAGTGGACATCTTATGGTGGCAACAGAAACCTTTTCCAGTGTAAATGACGTTTGCTCTGATGGTTTCACCTCGAGGATCGGACTCACACGTCTGACACATTGATCTCAAAGCCCTCACTTCTTTTAGCTGCTTGTGTTCACTTCTGTTTGTTTCTCTTTTCCTAAACGGCTGAAGGCCATCCTCTGTGAGTTCAGACACTGATGCTGGACCCAGATCAGACTCTGCAGACCAGTCAGGTTCCTCCACACCGCACCCACTCAGCCAGGTCTGTAGTGGGACACATGAAAGCACTGCCAGAGGACCTGTGGTCTACAGCCTCCAACCAGCAGGTTCATTAGTACGGTTCCTATAGCAACGGGAGATGTTAGATCATACAGGACTAGCTCTACACACGTCTTTATGCTGTACATGAAGAAGCTAGTGACAGGTGTGTGTGTGTGTGTGTATTCATGCATGTGCGTGCGTGCATGTGTGTGTGTATTCGTGCGAGCGTGCATGTGTGTTTGTATTCATGCATGTGCGTGCGTGCATGTGTGTGTGTTCATGCATGTGTCTGCGTGCGTGCATGTGTGTGTGTCTGTGTATTCATGCATGTGCATGCATGCGTGCATGTGTGTGTGTGTGTGTGTATATTCATGCATGTGTGTGTGTGTGTATTCGTTCGTGCGTGCGTGCATGTGTGTTTATTCATGCATGTTCATGCGTGCGTGCATGTGTGTGTGTGTGTGTATATTCATGCGTGTGTGTATTCGTGCGTGCGTGCAGGTGTGTGTGTGTGTGTGTATTCATGCATGTGCATGCGTGCGTGCATGTGTGTGTGTGTGTGTGTGTGTATATTCATGCGTGTGTGTGTATTCGTGCGTGCATGTGTGTGTGTGTGTGTGTGTGTATTCATGCATGTGCATGCGTGTGTGTGATTCTCAGGACATTACCTAGACTGATGCAACAGGAAACATGGCCTCCTGCTGAAGCTCCACTTTGTTTTCAGGAGGAAAGTGAAGCAAATGTAATTTCAGGCTCAGATAAACATGTCATCCTGGGAGATGAAGGAATCATTTCCACTTCCATTTGGTTCATTCCTCTGGACGCTTTCTGGTCTACAGCAGCTGCTGTTAGCGGCAGGAAATATGTTTGGTGAGCTCAGCTTTCTGATGCCTCGGCATGCAGCATCATGGCTGACACCACCGTTAAAACTGGAGGCAGGGGTCGGACCTCTGAGCTACAGACAGGCATTAGGAGGTTCTGACCAGTAGTCCTAACTTTACATCAGGGAGTCCATAATGAAGACGAAGAGGAACTCTGGCATGGCTCTGTCCAGCTGCAGGAAGGCAGAACAAACAAAAACCTCTTGAAAGGACAAACGAAGTGTTTGGGAAGAATCTGCTCTAATCCAAGTCAAAGAAAACAAACAGAAAGGCCTAGGCGCCGTGTGGAAGTGGAGATTAAAGAGGATTACATCTTTTCAACAAGCTGAAGCTTTACCTCCTCGGGTCTCCTGAGACATTTACCTGAAAGTTTCAGTAGAGTGAAACATGTCGTACGTGTCCATTAGAGAGTGCACATCAACATGCATGATGGTGGCGTGAGAGTAGGCGGGGTGATGACAGACGCGATCCCGGTGCTCTGATCTCTGACTCGTTAACGACATCGGTCTGACGTGAGGTTTCATCCTACCGGTCGCTGCTGTAGGGAGGCAGCTCTCTAGGACTTCTCCTCCGGAGCGTTTGGTTGCTCCAGGGCTGCAGCGCCGTAGCTAGCTGCAGCGCCGTAGCTAGCTACAACGAACATTTCTACCAAGAGAACTGAGGCAGAGCTGGCAGATGAGTAAATGTCAGTGCTTGGGTATTTTTAGTAGGTGTTTAGTAGGTTTTATTAGCTTCCTGAGGTTTGGTTTAGTTCTGCCACCATGAACTCCTGCACAGCTGTTTCATCCCAACAAGGTGGAGACTTTACTGGGAGGCCCATAACTCCAGTATGGATGTATATGGTTTATTAATGTTGATGGATTAAAGCCGGTTCTCGTCCAGCTGACGGTGAAACCGGGTGTTTTATCGGTGCTCAGTTCGGCTGTGAGACTTCCTCCAGATTCAGTCCTAGACTTTCAAATTTTCTCACTGCAGTAAAATCCTCCATAACGTATAAATAATGAGGAAGAAGTTCTGTGGAGGCAGATTTATTCTCCCTGAGGCAGTTTCTTCTCAGGTGGCTTTGCTGAGCCAGGTGATGGAGGAGCTGAAAACGTCCATGACACATACTCTATTCTGCATCGTTGAGATAAGGAGAGCAGCAATATCAGGCCGTCCGAACAGATGTGTGTGTGTGTGTGTGTGTGTGTGTGCGCGCACGTGCGTGTGTGCTATGGAATAAAAGGTTCTTCATCTGCTGACCTTTCCACACATGCTGCTACCTTCTCCAGGTGTGTGTGTGTGTGTGTATGTGTGTGTGTGTGTGTGTGTGTGCCGCTACCTTCTCCAGGTGTGTGTGTGTGTGTGTGTGTGTGTGTGTGTGCCGCTACCTTCTCCAGGTGTGTGTGTGTGTGTGTGTGTGTGTGTGTGTGTGTGTGTGCCGCTACCTTCTCCAGGTGTGTGTGTGTGTGTGTGTGTGTGTGTGTGTGTGTGTGTGTGTGTGTGTGTGTGCCGCTACCTTCTCCAGGTGTGTGCTGCTGTACCCCCACCTGTCCTACGTTCATCTACTTCTGTGTTGAGATGCCGGTGTGAGTACACGCAGCTCCATGATGGAGCCGCTGTAATAAACACAAAATCTTCAGAAGGTTGTTTTAGTTTGGAGCTTTTGGGTTAAAAGTTTCAGAATTTTCCATCAAAGTTCCTCAAAGTTTAACCAAACATCTACCTGAGCTGCACACTACGTCAGGGCTCAGCTGGGGTCCACTCCCCCTCCCGGTACACGGTACTGACCCGGTACTAAGTTGGTATCGGATCGGTAGCGTTTACAACATCTCCGGTTCCTGAGAGAACAGCTTTCCAGGTTGAAGAGGAGAATAACTTGTTGTTCCTGAGAGAACTGGGATAAGGGTGATGATCGGATCGTGTGATTCTAACAGACCCTATAGCTGCCGGTTCCAGATGTTATACAGATGTTAATCTGGTCTTCTGGATGTTGGCATCAGGGAGCTGTCACTAAACTGCTGTCAGCTCCGATGAATGTCAAGTTCCCCTCAAACTCCAGCAGCTTGTGATGGGTCCGGCGGCCGAAGCATCAGCAAGGAAAGGCCAGATCTCCAGAAAAGGGAGAGAAGGGTGATGCTGATGGGGGAGATGTGGGCGGGGGGAGAGGGGAAGCAAAGGAGGTGAAGGTGAGTGTAACGGCCATGTTTCTGAGAGAATGAATCACTCTTTCACTTTTCCCTCCGCTTGCCATGCTAAAGTTGCTCTACATCATAGAGGAGAAACTCTGGGAATTCAAACAATTTTGCTGCCATACTTTATCTTTCATGACACGACATCACTCCATCTGCACAGCTCCGTTCACCGGTGCGCTCCAGACTGGCACTGAAAAAGAGCTGTGAGCCGTGGAGACGGATCAGGAACCCGGATTCAGGAATTCTAGAGGCAACAGGAAAAAAACTGTAGCTTTTTCTTCTTCCCGTTTGTTTTCATATGAAAAAAAAAAAAACAGAAACAGAAACGGGCAAATCAGATACTATAAATACTAATTATTGTATTGACTGGTGAGTGTTGTAAGACATGCCTTGCTGCACCTTCAGTTGCATCTTTATTGTATTTGATATTTATGGGTTAGACTATTTACTTATTTAGGACCTTTACTCTGAAAGCGTTTGGGTAAAACTCCCACTGTAGATGGTTATGTAATAAATGTCGATATAAAACAACACAGGTGTGTTTTAGACAACCTAGAGTAACTGTAGTCAGCTGTTAACTCTCCAGGTGTTTTTCTCCCCAGAAGAAGCTACAATGATGTTCTGCTGAGCTGTGGTGGCCTCATGGAGGGGTCATCGGCTAGCACACTGCTGCTAACCACTTAAAGAGCATCTTTAATGTTCTTTAAAATGGTAGAAAAACCTCATCTAAGGTCAAAAGGTTACTTTGGTTATCCTTCCAAGTATTCAGATAACTAGCAGGTGTTAAAAATGCAAAATCAAGACAAATCAATGGCCTTGTTAAGAAAACAATATGTTTTTCTTTAGTGTTCAAGATGGTCATTATAGTGTTAGCTTCGTCAGACTTAACAATAATAATATTATCAGGGTTTCCCTTACATAGGCGTAGCCGTGGCGGGCCGCCACGGCTGAAATCCCACCGCCACGCCTACAACATCCCAAGTTTTATTGATGTTTTTTTTTTTTGCGCCGTTTCCCGAAGAAGCAGCAGGAACTACTGTGTTGTTGCTTGTGATCACAGCCGGCAGGTAGCAAGGAGGAGGAGGCAGGGCAGGGTGGTTACAGCTATGAGCGTACGGATAAAGCATTTTTGACGAATACGAGCAAGAAACGAGTGTAAAACTCGGAAATATCTGTAATCGTGCTAAACGAAATTCTCATTGGGTAACTGACTGTCTTCACGCTCTGTGATTGGCCAGTCAGATAGAGCGCCCGCCCCTCCCTACACACAAAACTGCAGCCGGGAGCTCCGTCAGCTCGGTCCAGGCATCAACTCACACACACAGACAGTAAGCCGGGCATGTGCGACTTTTTCACTTTTTTGAGCAGATTTTCCACTCGTGCGAGAATCCATAAGATCGGGGCGAGTTTTGCGCTGAGCGTCGTGTAGTGTACAGGGGGTTACGAGAGGCGATTAACACCACGTGACCAGCTACCGATCAGCAATCGTGAGCTCGCACGGACTTCTGGCGAGTTTAATATTTATCTCGTTCCTCATGAGGGTTGAAGCGGCGCAGCGAGCAGCTGCGACCCAAAATGTATCAGAACCGCTCACGGCGCATTCGCAATCCTGCATCAACTCCGCTCCCCGCTATTTCCCTAATAACACACGTTGTTCGTTTTTCTTTCTACACGTTTTTTTTACAAGGAAGCGTGTTTGTCGTGTTCATGTCAAATTAAACTGATCACAAAACAGATTTACTTTCTTTATTTCGTTTCCTCATCCAACCCCCATAAATCCCTGTGTGTCCTCCTGCAGCACTCCCGAAGGACAACAGGCAAAAAAAGACAAAAAAGTCTGACGTGTTGTGTAAAAACTGCTATTTTTAGCATATTTTAGGTCCGACGTGTTGCTACCAGACGTACAGTGTGAGCACATGGCTCGTGAGATCTACCCTGCGCTGAAGTCGTACAGTTTGAGCTGAAGCTGTGTTACGAGTGAAAAAGTCGCACAGTGACCACCCAGCTTATTATAATGTTCACTGTAATGCATCTTGATGTTCTTAACAAATAAATTAAATCAAAAATATTGGTCAATAATGCCAAATATGTAAATTTGTGTTTCAGTCATTTTTATACTGGGTTAAAATACTTCATTAAGTCTACTAAGCAGGGATGTAGAACGTTTTTATTAGGGCCAGCCCAGTAATGATCTTGGACCAAAATACAGGGGGCAGAAAGTCAAATACAGGGGGGCAGATGGAGATGTTTTTCCAGACGCCAAGAAAAATTAAATGCCAAATCCACCCTGCAAAGTGTGTCACTGAGAGTTTAAAACAGAAATTATTCTTGTGCAAATATTGGTGTACTCACCTTTAATACTAGTTATTACAATGCAGCAGTCGCTGGATTGGTGCAGTTCAAAGTGGAGTGCATCAAATAAAACAATATTAACATAAAGGTGAGACGTGTCATTCCCCCCCCCCCCCCCCGCCAACACCACCACCACAGCTGGAAAAATTCCTAGGGGAAACACTGTATTATTATTATTATTATTATTATTATTATTATAAATCACACACAAAGTTGTGAACATTTTAATTTCCTTTCTGAACTATTTCTGTTGAGAGTTTTAATGTTTAAATCTGTTAGGTTGTTACTGACAGCAGCTACATTTAAGTTTCACTTCCTGTTCTGACTGAATGCTGCTGCAGCATAGAGGTGTAGTTCTCAGTCATCCTGGACATGATCATCCTGAGAGCTTTAGCTGAAAACAGCTGGGCGTTTCTGGATGTGTTGGAGACATTTAGCCTCTCATCCCAGAGGCTTCTTCCAGACTTTGGTTGTGGTCAGAAACAAACACACTGGTTGTGCTGCAAGTCTTTTTCTTTTGTTCTCCAAAATATGTTTTTGTCTAAATGAAGGTGATGTTGTTGTTCATAGAGTTAAAATTCATGTTGAAGTTAAGATTATTTCATCCAGTAGGACCTGTGGTTAGCTGGCTCATGTAAAGCATGCCATGTCTTCAAAGAATCGGAATCGGGAATCTATAGGAACCGGAATCGAAACGAGGAATTGGAATCAGAATCGTTCAAAATCAAACAATGCCCAACCCTAGTGTTAAATTAAAAAAACAAAATCATCAATAAAATTTTTTTATTGAAATGATTTAATCCCCTTTTTTAGAAGGAAAACATTACAGAGTTTCTAGCAGTAAGAAAGTAGCAGACGTTTCTGGACACAAACACTGAGAGGAGGTTGATGAGTGTCTTCACTACTTGTATACCAAAACGTTTTACTTGTCTTTTACTGATTATAATTAAGAATGTATGTATGTTTTATGGTTGGTACTGTCTCACATGAACAAGAAGATATGATTGTATGGTGTGACACACACACACACACACACACACACACACACACACACACACACACACACACACACACACACACACATAC